TTGTTTCTCACTCCATCTCATGTAAGGACCATACCGACCATAAACTTTTACCTATACTGTATATATATATATATATATATATATATATATATATATATATATATATATATATATAAATTATTTAAAAAATTTCGAACGCGAGCATCGTAATAAGGCGGAGCTCCATCTTGCTGGAAAACAAGATCTTGGATGAATTATTTGTGTTTCCGATAGAATAAGATATCTTTCTCCCGTTAAATTGCCTTCGATAAAAAAGGGCCTATAATGTGATCCCCTAGTATACCTGCCCAAACATTTAATTTAGTGGGAAATTGAGTATGACACTCTCGAAACAATCGAGGGTTTTCGTCAGACCAATATCATAAGTTTTGTCGATGTACATGACCATTTAAATAGAATGTAGTTTCATCGGAAAAACAAATATGTCTTAAATAATTTGGATCTTGTAAACAAAGTCAGAATAGCCATGTTGATTGCCAACGTTCGGAACAGACAAGGCACATGAAGAAGAAGAAGAGGGATGAAATTTTTGCTTTTTTAAAATGGTTAAGACGGTTTTGTCACTTACTTCGCATTCGTGAGCAACATTTCTAGTTGAACTGGATGGATTTACTATAAATTGAGACAAAATATCTACTTGCTTTTCCTCAGAAGTCTTTTTTCTACCATCCCGTTTCTTGTTTTCGACAGAACCAGTTTCACAAAAATTTGTCTACTAATCTACGAGGTCGTGCCATTTTCATTGTTTTGACTTTTGAATACTAAAAATTTACAGGTTACCACTAAAGCTCACCAAATCTCTAGTTCTTCTCATTATTCTTTACAATCAACAGTACTATTTAATTGCTTGGTTTTTATGACAGTTGTCAAAAACTAGACACGCCAACTAGATTATTTAAAAAAAATGTTCTAACCACGATATGTTTTAACGACACAAAAGTATTTATTCTGCAAAAAAATAATTCGGTATAAACGGTCTAGAATAAAAATTAAATAAATTTTGTTATACCGGATGTCCCATATTAAAGCAAAACCAGAGTACCTACTTTTGTATTGTTGTATCGCAAAGTGTATCTCCAAACGATAACTTGTTATTAACAAACAGATCCTTAAAGTAAAAGTAAAGTGTGATAGATTTTAGAATTTTTCTTTTTAAACCCTTTCCAACGAACTATCGCACGACCCCCATTGCTATTTAAAAAATCTGATGGGGGTAGCTGTCAAGTGAAGGGGTGATAATTTTTTATATGTTATAAAATACCTCCATTAAAATAAAAATTGACGAGTCCGAGGTTTTTCATCTTTTTCTACACTGTATATGTATATTTTCAGACTTTTAGTGCATATTTCTATGCATATTTGACCAATTTTACATGCATAATTGTCCAATCCCTAGTTATGACACACCGAACTTTGACTCCCTCTATAGAGTCATCAAGATTTCTGGGTTTCAGTCTCACTAAGTACTCAGATTAATTCGTTAATACACTGTTTATTGCACTACTGCTGTATTACAAACCATATAACTAATTGCCCAATTATATGAACTTTAAAATTTTGTCAATCGGATAGCCAAGCGGGCTGGGCAGCTGGCTTCTCCTTCGCTTCAATGCGAGAGATGTCATTTCAATCCCCAGCTCGTGGTACAGAAAACAAAAAGGCTAACGCAGCAGTTTAAAGTTCTAAATGAATCTGCGGCTTAGTCTAGAATATGCTGGTATCTGATCGGCCTATGGTGGAGCAGTACGGCAAGAGATAAGGGCTTGCGGCTCGGTGATACTCCTCCATAGATCCCTACCGGAATATATATATATATATATATATATATATATATATATATATATATACAGTGTAGGTAAAAAAGTTTATGGTCGGTATGGTAAAATTTAACAGGATATCTAACGCAGATATAAAATCATATTTCCCCTTGGTCTCCCCTCCATAAATATTTTTAACACTCATTGCTCATTCGTGAGACGAATAGTTCCGATCAGAGATATTTTACATATTCTCTGGTTCCGATCCTAATATACCTAAAAAACTAGAGGTGGATCCTCTCGTTTTTTAAATTTTTATCGGAACCGTTTTTCGTAAACTGTAACTAGTTGATTGTTTACCAGTATTCAAATTGGCGAGTACACAAACATATTGGCTATTATCATTTATGTGTATAAGTATTGAAGTGAAAGAACCTAACGAAGGATATATTTCTTATAACTTGAAAAATAAATTAAACAATAAAAATAGTACTTACATTTACATTACACATTATCAAATCGCGAATCGTCTAAATTGACATTTTAAAACAAGTTTTTCCACTTTTCTTGTTAACCGTGTTCTTCTTTTATTTAAAATTAAACCAGATTTTAAACATGTGTTCACCAGGAAAATCTCCGTTCGAAATTTTTTGTGGGTAATATATCATCAGACAAATACATGTCGACTTCTTTTATATCTCTCGATACAGGTGTATGTTTAGATGAGTTACGTCCAATTAATTCACCATGGACTTAAGTCATCTTTATCAGTTTCATTTTCTTGTACTGGTTGATTTTCAAGATTTACTAAACTTATGCAAAGACTGGTTTCATCCGTTTTCCATAGGTGAAGAACCAGCTTTTAAAAAGTTTGTAGGGTGGATTCCTGGATATAAACTGCCAACAAGAAAAACTGTCAGGTTCATTACTTCAGGAATGTTATGTCAAAACTGATTTGATAATAGATAAAATAAAAAGTCCTATTTTCGACAATTGTGCAAAAAACACATTTAAAAAAAAAGTACCTTATCTTCAGGAAGGCTTTTAAAGTATTAATTACAACATAACAAAGTTCCCAAACGGCCAATCCAAGACGTGGAAACTAGGTAGAACTTCACCTACTACATGTTAAAAAAAATGACCGAGTTAGAAGAGGCAATCCGTTCCACATCGGTATTAAATAATACAGACTTAGACTTGGACCAAATCTGAATAAATAACACTGGATTATTTGTTCTCAGCTTTCCCAAATTTTACGGCCGTTTAAAGAAATAACAAGTACAATGAGTGACCAAAAATACTTGAAGGGTAGTTCAGTGATTGTTATGGTACGCTGCCTGCAAGAATCCTGCAATAAAATTTTAGCAAACGGTAAATTTAGCAATAAGGTTTAGCAAACCTTACATCCATAGTATCCGATGTAGTACAATTACTAATATCGGGTTTAGCAAAAAGATTTAAAGGGATAGAACAGAGTGGCACATTGTCATTATGTACATTTATGGATTCACCATTTAAAGTGCAGGGTTTTTCTGATAAAAATGAAGATAAAAAAATTAAAGAAAAAGTTAAGAAGCTGGTTACTTCTATAATTAACGAACAAGAAGATTGTACTATTGAAAATCAACCAGTACAAGAAAAAGAAACCAATAAAGATGACTTAAATCCATAGTGTATTTTTGATCAATTAATTGGAGATGGCTCATCTACATGTACACCTGAATCGAGAGTCCATTACAACGGTGGAAAAACCATCGCCATATATATATCCAAACTTAACCACTATTAGTATTGTAAATGTGAACACATGTTCAAAATCTGGTTTAATTTGAAATAGAAAAGAAGACGGTTAATAAGAAGTAAAGTTGAAAAACTTATGTTTTTGAATGTCAATTTAGACTATTCGCAATTTAATAATAACGTGTAATGTAAATGTAAGTACGAGTTACTATTTGTATTGTTTAGTTTATTTTTCAAGTTATAATAAATAAATCATTAGTTTCTTTCACTTCAATAAATATACAAATAAGCGATAATAGCCATTATGTTTGTTTATGTAGGTACTTTCTTACCTAAAACTACTTTTAAACAATCATAGTTACTTGTTTACAAAAATTTAAATTTTTAAATGCAATTTTTGCAATGCATTTTTTTTTGGAATCCTGAGAAAACTAACAAATATTTTTGAAAAATTTAAATGCATAATAAAAGATTACATTATTACCGAGGGCCGAAAGTTTCTTAGAATAAACAAAAAAGTTTTTGACTGAGATATTTGAAATTAAAAATCACACTAATTTTTTTTTCACCCCTATAACTTATTAAAATAAACATTATAGAAGTTTTCAGGGACTTTCGGCCTTCGGTAATAATGTATTGTTTCATTCTGCGTTTAAATTTTTCAAAAATATTTATTAGTTTTCTCAGGATTCGCAAAAAATTAATGCATTTAAAAAATATTGGAACGATATTTTGTGCCTACTCTCTTAATGATAAAACTACCACGACCCACCTCTACTACTCGTTACTCGGTCGGCCAAACCAGACAAGACCAGACCGACGTTGCCAAATAATTATTGTGTATGAATATTTTTTAATGTGGCGTTATTGTATGCAGTTTATTATTTCATATTGAGAATAAGGCACAATGTGACTTTAAAATAGCCTTATTTTGATGTTTAGATTTTTAATTCGGAAATCATACTTAAAATACGAAACATTAATAAATTTTATTTATATAAAACGATTTCCGAAGTGGAAATGAAAATGTTATATTACACTTATTGTAAAGTAAACTTGTGGCATATTCCCAATAAAAAAAAACAGTAAGCTGCCATTTAAATCAATTTCGCCCAAATTGGATTATCTTAGAACATTGTTCAAATGCAAAAAAAAACAACAGGTCAAATAAATCCAATAAGTTTGGCAACATTGAACTTCCCCTTTCCAGGCATGCATGTTTGGCGATATAAAGGGCGGACCTAATATACCTCTCTCTTTCTAAACAGCTGTTTCTCACTCCATCTCACGTAAGGACCATACCGACCATAAACTTTTTCCTACACTGTATATATATATATATATATATATATATATATATATATATATATATATAAAATTTTGTCAAAAATTCAATGTGTTCAATGAAAGAAGTGTTCAATGTGTTCAATGAAGCTATGCATGTTCAAAATCAATAAATATTAGATGTGCTATCCTGAATAATATGTACTATTTGTTTTTTAGGTACTGCGATAGTCGGCGAAAAGTGTTATTAGAGCATGTTCACGAAGGATATGAAAAAGAATGGTGGGATTACAATGAATAAGCGTCTACAAATTACATCCGTTCCGTAACTAGTATTGTAGTATGATAGATCTTATATCTAGTTACCTTTAAAAAAGGGAGAAACAAAATACGGATTTTATTTACGTAGTGTAATTAATTTATCTACGTGAGTTTTGTATTTATTTTTTATAGTCTAATTTTGGAATATTTATTTTATAGGAACGCAAAATATACCTCAGTAGATCGGAAAAATCTGGAAATCATATTTTACGTTCGAGCCTGACTTTAGCGTTAATGTCACTCATTAAAACGTGAGTCATGCTAAGTGATTTTAATTACTGTGTAAAGTGCCTCGAGGCAAGTAGTCAAGACTACTATAACATCGTTATTCTTGAATTACAAAAATGTATCAATATAATTTGATAGAGCTATTTAAACTCATTAAATTTGTGGGTAAAAATTTATACAAAAGGGACTTAAGATAAGTTGGCCCAAATTATATTTTCGTACAACAATTTTGTGAATTGTGTATTTTGTGATTGTTATGCGTCTTTTTATTTTTATTTTTATTTATGTGCTATTGTTGTTCTGCAACTGCTCCGAAATCGTTGTTATTGGTGGTCAGATCATCAATATTATCTGCTCTTTTATGTATGTTAATCGACAGGTTTAGATTAATTTAATTTGTTGTTTTCTAATGATGTTTCCTGAGGTATAAGTCGTAGTTTGGAATTATTTCTTTACATTTCGTCTACGAGTTCCATATTATTAGTTTTTGTAAACTGAGACAGTTTACGGAATATGGTTGCGACTGTGGCCGCATCGCCTTGTTGTCTATAATATCCTGGTAAATATGCCAGGATAAAGTATAAATAACTAGAATATGATTTTTTTATATGAATTTTATTTTATTTTATATGATTTTTAGAATAGCTGCATAACACGTTGACTACCTACTAACTAGTTTGTGTTAAATGGCGTGCAGTTAATATTATCCAAAAGTTGTAACATGCCGCAATTTAGGTTGCAACGCATGTACATATATTAAAATGTCTGCCTGAGGCACACACGTCTTATTTTTGTTAAATCCGTGTTGTCAGCGTATGCTTAAGTCTGAACAAATTTATTAAATATAGGCTCCTCTGCTACCTATATTGTTGTCTCGAATAACGTTTTCTAAGGTTATGTTAAAGTGTTGAGATGCGAACACACAACTACTATGGACTGTTATTGATCTTAAGGCGTAAGAAAGAAAAATATCCTGAATCTACCTTAAAATTAGCATATTAACCCATGAAGGACGAAGTTTTCGAAAATCTTTATTTTACATAAATAATACAAATAACTCTTATGAATGGACAAAACTTTAGAAAAAGACAAAAATAATTATTAAATATATTAAAACCTAAAAATATTGCCTGTTGCCAAATGGCAACGCTAGGTTCCTATGGCTGCATTAACCGAATGAAATAAAAGTAAAAAATATTCTATGAAATTGAGAGATAATCGGCAAAAAACTTTCTATAGCTGTGTATGAAATTTAACATTACACTTTGTGCACAAACCTATTTCACATTTGGCGCATCTTGTTCTCATGATCGACCTGCATTCTTCACCTGCACACCTAATTTTCGTTTTATTTGGTACTATTACGGTACTACTTTATTAAAAATTTGTAGGGTAATCTTGATTTATCATTGGGCAGTTCATCGAGCATTGTGACGAATGGAGCCACACATGCTCCAAAAACTTTATAATAATGATTATTTGCTTTGGGATCGGTTCCTTGGTACATGTTGAGGCTTACAAGATACCCACTTTTAGTGTTGAGGCACCAAACTTTGTATCCGAAATCTTTATTTATACGTCCATGATCCGAAACGAATCGGCTTTCCTTTTATGAACTGTTTACATGAGTGGCGTTAAAAGTATTTCACCATAGATTCGTCGTAATTTAATTCGCCTCCAGGGACGTAATATTCTTTATATTTTTTCTGTAAATAGTCAGCTAAGGGTCTGATCTTGTAATATTTATCGCTTTCATCGATGGCTTCATTATTTGCAAGGTGGAAAAAACGCCAAATTGTAAGGAACCGATCTCTTCGCATAGCGTTCATGACCATTGCATTACCCATATCACCTTTCATATCCCAGTAAAATTTTTTTCCCGGGAGCCAATTATACCCCGATAGAATCAAAATGGCAAAGAAACACCTCATTTCTCCTGCGGAAATTTTGGGGTCGAGAAAGTTGTTCTGTAGTGCATAACTCGTGCATTGGTTGAGAATGTAACTAATTATATCCTCGTCGAAAAATAATTCGAACATCTCGACAGGTGTCAACGTATTGAATGGTTCGTAGCTATATTCTGGGAAACTAGCGGCATTGTCGACCAAATCACCCGTTATCCAATTTAGGGACTCGTATTCAATTTTCTTCACTTGTGAGGTAATTTGTGGGATGAAACTTCCGCTGCTTTCCTGCGAAATATCCATCGCTTGAACTGCATCTTCTTCGATGTCGTCATCCTCCTTGTCTGCTTCTTCGCCATACATTTGCATCTCAACATTTGCTTCCAGCTGTTTTCTAGACAGATTGTCGATGAATCCTCCCCCATCTTCCTCGCCAGAATCTTCATCAGTGAGGTCTCCAATATTTGGGGGCTCAACATAAATATTTCTAACGTTGACGTCATCTTCGTAAACCATGTTCAAAGCCTCTTGTAGAGAGAAACCCCGCCTGAAAAAACAAGATGCCTGTAGATATTAGCGTTGCCATATGGCAACGCGATGAATAAAAACAAAATATTGTAAAAGATCGCTTTTTTCAAGGGTTGTCAAATATTCACAGAGGGAAAATGACCTTTCTATTAGAGTATAATTGTTACTTTAGCCACTTAGATGTAATAGTTATTCAGAAGTAATTGACAAATTGAGCTACTTACACAAATCTTATATCCATTTTTACAACTATCAAAAACGGTGACTATAAAATCTCACAAACACCAACGAATGAAGTTTTTGTTAGGTGTATATCTTCAAATCACTTATTTTCTGCAGACCGGCACGTTCTTGGAAACAAAACAAACTCAAACATAACCTCAAAATAATAAGATTCGTACTTCAATACTAGTGTTGCCATATGGCAACTCCAGTCCTTCATGGGTTAAAAGGAAGTACGTTAAATTCAGAAAGAACAAAAAATGATTTTCTTATAAAATTACGAAAACACCATGGTGGACACCTCTGCTAATCACCATACAAATGAGTCCAAAAATTGTATACCTAGTTGGTGTATGTTTTATGATACAATTGAAATAATTTTTTTCTTTTTCAATACACACAGCAACTTCACCAACTCAATACTCCATGGAGATCGAACAGGAATTTTTTTGGTACTGGAGTAAAAGCACATTGATTTACTTCTTTGTGGTTTGTTGTTTTGACCTGTTTAGCTAAACTTCTTTGTTCTGCAGTATGACGAACTTCTGCAATAAACCTATGTGGGATTATTGGCGGAGATATATCTAACAGTAATTTAAATTTACTCTGATTTGTGGTAACATGGGGAATTTGTAACGCCTTGTAGAAGATCCCATTCAAAATAAGCAATAATTATATACTATTTTGAAAGTACATACAAATATATTTTTCAATTAAAACTCTTCAATTAAAACACTTTTCTAAAAATATACTCGTTGTATTTCTAAAAATATTTCCAAAAAGTACAGATTGGCATACTTAAATGGTATTATAACTTGGTGATAAAACAATTCAAGTATATTTCGTCCCTACAGTCGCCATCTACCGCCATTACATTTAATTTAATGAAAACATTGCAGTTTGAATTGGTAGTAGAAAAACACATGTAAAACACGGGATTATTTTCAAGTAAATAAGTATTAAATTTGTGTCGAATTTTAAAGACTAATTAAGTAATATGCAACGTGCAAGTTGTAGTAAAAAAGTTATTCAAACACAAAAATATATTAGGTGACATGGAACTTACACCACAGACAGACAAATTCAACCCAAAAAACACGTTAGTTAGGAAAATTATGCAATTATGTAATTAATGCATATAAGGTATTATTTATATCTTTTATATAATTTGGGTTTATTTTTTGTCTTTTGGTTGGTGTTTCATTGAAAGTTTGCCCTAAGACAAATGTCCCATCTTAAGGCAAATGTCTAGATCCGCTACTGCCACGCATCAGCACTAGGGTTTTCTATAAATATAGTAAGATACAACAAAGAAGCTCTAAAAAGAAAAACTACAGCACAATAATAACTCTGCTCGGAAAACGTGTCTGCAAAACGTTATTCTTACGTACTTTTGACATTTCTGTGCGCATATTTCAGGTTGTTTGTGTGAATCTGATAAACGAGGAAAGAAGGAACTCCCAAACAAAATTAAACAATCATCCAAAATATGGTGATTTCCCACATTAAGATGTTTCCAAAGTATTAGAGTCATTATTCGAGAAAAGACAATCTGAATATTAAATACGTTCCTGACGATTTGAATATTAGTAAGATGTATAATCTATATAAGGAATTTTGTAATGAACAACAAGAAGAACCTGTGAAATAATAATATCGATTTATCTCGAACACAGAGTTCAATTTGAAATTTCACAAGCCTTATAGTAATACGTACATTTAGCCACTGTTACAATTTTCAGAACTTGATAACATATTTTGAAAATGAGGAAACCATTTCAAACGCTAAACGGTATTTAGAACTACATTAGAGAAAAGCTAAGAAAGCAAACGATTCTAAAACATTAGATATTGAAAAAATGTTAAGAATACTGTCATTTGTTTCGATTTGCAATAGACATTGCCAACACCACTAGTAACTACGTCCAAGGTATTTTACCTTCGTCAACTATGGACGTACAATTTTTGTATATACAACTTACTTACTGGACAAAGTCAAATGTTTTAATGGAAAGAAACAATTTCAGTAAGAGGTTCCCAAGAAATAAGCTCATGGCTGATTGAAACATTTATCAGGTGTCTACCCCCAAGGTAACAAAGATAGTCGCAAAGAGTGACTCTTGTGGAGGGCCGAATAAAAACAAAAACTTCTGCAAACA